AGAAAACTCTTAAAATACATAGGACAGTAGTTAATTTTCAAAGTTGTAGCAAAGAGAAAGGTAATCCAGTAGTCATGTTACCTAAACTCAGTGAAAGCTTCCTTATTTGAAAAGATGATTATTTAAGGGTAAATTCCCTTACAATTTATTTAAAGGTCCAAGCAATGCTCAGACTATATAAACATACACTTTCTGTTGCAGAGTGTATGACATAGAGAAAGTGGACCTAACTACTATTTCACTGTTAACCCTTCACCCTTCTCTCTGAATCCTCACATTTAACAAAGAGCGGACACATGTTTCATGTCACCATGAGATCCATAGATTACAAACTATGGCCTCTGGGCTGCTGGTTATAGGCATTATAACATGTGAGGTCCCAGCATATTACCACCTAGAGGGCAAACCTCTGAGTTGTACTACTTGGTTATGGCAAGCCTGCCAGGTCTCTCAATCCTGTAGCTGTTCCCAGGGTGCCTCCTAGGCTTATGTAAGACAAGAAGTCTGAATAACCTTTCTGGGTCATTCAAATGTGTCAGACAATCCTGGGGGTCTCGGCTCTCTGGAGTACTCAGCTTTCCTGATTGTTTATTTGAAGAATACATTTCTTTTAGCCAGAGCTAAGGATCTCTGATTTATCCTTGTTCTGGATCATTAATAGAGAATAAATACACGGAAATATGGATGGGAACAGTTGTCCTGCAAGCATTCAACCAATTCATTACATTGCTCAGTTTTCCAGGAAATTCGAGGAGTCTAGTAAACCTCTAAATCAGAGTAGAGCTTGTTAGCTGTAAAGATTCTGCAGAAAAGACCTGGGAGATTTGAGTACATTTTGCCTTTTGTGAGTTTGAAATTAATATTAATGGAGGCAACGGAATTCAGTTCAGGAAATAGTGCCGTTGAGTTTGCCTAAGAAGAAACAGAACCACCAGGGTTACATAAATACGCATACATCCCAGTGATACAGCATTTGTAAGAGGGAATTTCCTCCAGCAAAGGGATGTGAGTAATGTAATATAAGAAAATGACTGGACAAGAAGTTCAGAATGTGTAAAGGCACATTTCCCTGGAACTGTGTTTAAAATGACCACAATTTTCCAGAAAGTAAAAATAATGAATTCAGAAGTGATTCTCGCGTGCTTGAATTTTTGTTTGTTTTAATAATAAAATATTCAGGTCAGGTGCCTGATTTCCTTTTTTTCCTGATAAAAAGAACTGTGTAAAATATATCTATTTTTACTTTTTTCTTTTTGTAGATATTAGCAGATAGGGAGCTCCAGTTGGTTTAAGTGATCTCCTATTTATATAAAAAATGGCATTGTTGCCCCAGATTATTATTTCAATATTAAATATTAATATTGCCTAATTTTTTTCCTTTTTCTTCCAAAAAACTGCCACTCTATTAAATGCAAGCATTGGAAAGTGCTTTTGTATTCTACTATCCTCTTTGAGTTGAGGGTGACTGCATAATTAAACCTGGCCTGAAATCAACCATATAAGAGTTGAATGAATACCAATTCCAACTGGGAGGATTTACCATATGAATGTTCTTTTCCTAAGACTAAAACACAGGTTAGATTTCCAAGTTTTAGAATGTTGCTCAATGAAAGAAATATGTTGCCCATGAGAAAAAAATAAATCAAATGGTGGTGTAATCTATAATCAAAGGCACTAATGGTCACAAAGCATTCAGAACAAAGGTTCGCTGAGCTAGCAAAGACATGGAAAAAAGTTTAATACATAATCCATTCTAAGTAAAAGGTCTTCATGACTAAAAAAAGGAAAGGAAAGCTTCTCAATAGTTTCAAATATTTTCTTTTAGTTCTTATATTCGTTGTTATTTTTAATAACCCTAGGACTAGGATGAGTAGATTAACTCTACAATCAGAAAAGCTTATGAATATGAAATCACTTGAGAGATAGAATAATGTCCAACATACTACTTTTCCTTTCAAATTTCACAATCTAAAATAGATTTTTAAAGATACTTAGTTGTCTTTTCTTAATTTATCTTTATTTGGGGCTTGCAAATTTTTGCCTCCTAGTGTGCTCTTGCGAGAAAAATTAGAGATGTTTCCCTGCTTCTTTGGTTCTTGGAATTGTTCCTACAGAAAACATTTGATAAACAGCACCAGTGCTAGGAGGGAACAAAATGGAGATATGTTTGTCCTGGACATTTTTATTTGGAAATGATAGTATTTATGCAGGAAAAGAAGCAAGGCATGCTTTATTCTTTTATTCACAGGTAGAAGGATTATTTGAAAACAAGTACCCTTGTTTTCATTCCATGGCAAGATCTTTATCTGTTACTCAGCTATAATATATTTAAAAAGAAGAAAAGATGCATGCACATGTGGCCTACATACCACACTTGAGTGAGTGGTGAACAGCAAACCTGTGGTATTAGCAGATGGAAGAAAATGGCCAGCATGCAGTTTTAAGGAGGCATTGAAAAAAAGAATGGATAAATTACTGGGGTTTTTTGTTTTTACCATGAGAAGAAAATGTATATCATTTACAAAAATGTCCTTCTGCAAGCAATAGAAATAATTAAATTCCCCCAGAAGGAAAATAGAAATATCTTAACATAGTTACAACTCCAATGAAACATAGTCTATCTTCTACATAAATGCCAGAACAACAATAATGTATTTATTTGTTTTGTAAATTTCGTTCCTATTCACATGTGTTTCTCTGATAAATGGAGCTTAATAATTTGTGATGGGATATTTGGCTTTTTGTTTAATATTAACTCTTAAGAAGGATGAATTGAAATCCTCAAAGGATAACGAAAACCTGCATTATTTGAGCCTAGCTGTTAACCCTCAAATCTTTTTTTATGTTTTTAAAAATGCTTCTCTAACCAGTTAGGCAGGAGTCTGTGTCGGTATTAGTCTATGCTTGACTCTAGCTGACGTAGTAAAGTTAATCGAATGGAATTGCTTCCTTCTGTTACATTAAAAGTAACAACTAGGTAAGTGTTAGTATTTCAATCAGGTTTGGGAACAAGCCATGGATGTACCTTACTGTGGAGTTTTACACAGAGATCATTCAGTCATCTAGCCAGTTTGCACCTTGACTGCTCTATGTCTGATTGTCATCAGCATTTATTTTCTTCTTTCCTTGTGGTGTTGGGGTGATTTCAGGGCAAAGGGTTAGAGAGTAGGATGACCATATGTTGATCCTTGTGCTCTTATCAAATGGAGAGTCTGCAATAGAGTATGAAAGAGGCTTCGCTGCTAGGAACACAATTATCTAAACAAGTACTAATACAAGATAGGAGAAAAACTAGAATTATGGAAAACGAGATTATAATATGAAAAGTCTTTTTAAATATCAAATTTCCAAATATGAGAAAGAGAGGGATTGGTAAAAATAAATTTGGTGTATTTAGATTTGCTTATCTAATATAAATAAAAGCTTCAAGCATGTGACAAGAGCCCGCTTTGTGCTTCCCTCACCAGGCATCTATAAAGCTTGCAGAGAATGATTCTGATGAGCTGGGGAATTCTTCAAAACAACATCCCATGCTGCACAACTCATTGTTCAAAAAATGAGTAAGTTAGGAAGTGAACAAGATAGACCATATAATAAGAAGTACACTATCTCTGGACTTAGGAAATCAGAGCCTAATCCTGGCTTAATTTGAAGTGATTTTATGGTTTTGGTAAATTTAATTTAAACTTTTGTAGTTTTGGTATTCTTAATGGCAAAGAATTCATTTTACATGTCCTATTTCAGAAACAAACATTTCTGCATGAGATTCATTCATTAATGGTTTTATTTCATATCTATAATGATTGTTAGAAATCTGTAATAATATTAGTTTGTTCTCTTGACATTTGTCTCTTCTGCCTTATGTATATGGCAGGTGGGGACAGATGAAAAGATCAAGGGATCAGGAACAGTGATCTCCATGTATTGAGATTTCATGTTCTGCTTTCTCAGCACTAGAGATTTAATGCTCTGTGCAGGCATGGGTTCACACTGTGCATGATGTGATCATTCTAGAAGGGAAGAATCCAAATGTGAACAAAAAGTACCATACTAGATTGGGGAGTGAAGTGACAAACTTTACAGTTTTTATGACAATAGTACCTCCAGCAATAAAACCAAGCCTCAAAATGGGGACTGAAACAGTCCTGATCTCTAGACCTTAGTGTATTGAACCTAGTACTAAGCAAAGAAGAAAGGAGCCTGCAGTTGCTATACCTCACCACAGAGACAGAAAAAAAAGATATGATGTATCATTAGTAATCTAGCTTGACTGGCTACTGAGTTGAACTTTTTTTGAAATACTTGATTTTTGTATATATCCTGTTAACATTAAAGGTTTGAAGGAAATGCTTAAGTCTTTTATGCTGGTAATCTAAAGCAATAGCTGGTCTTAATAAGCTGAGTCTTACTGCATGGTTTCAACCTTTTGTTTTTCTATTTTTTTTTAGTACATATTTGCAGTACATAAGGATTATATTCACTGTGGGGAATTGGTACATGTACCTAACACACCTTAACTCTTTTATGACTTTTTCTCTTTCCCTCCTTCCCCTCTCCCTCTATTTCTTGTTTGCCTTCTTATGTGTAAAAGATCTATCTACCTGTTTCCTATTATCTATTTCTATTTTTCTCTTTTTTTACTTTGGTTTCTCATATAAGAGAAATCATGTCATGTGTAAGCCTATGTGTCCAGTTTATTTCACTTAGCATTATGGTTTCAAGTTTCATCCATTTTCCTACATGACCTCAAATGCATCCTTCCTCCATTATGTATAAATACCTCATTTTCTTTATTTACTCAACTGTCTATGGACACACAGCCTTGTTTTGAGCCAAGCAGGTCTTTATGTTCGCAAACACAATGGGTTACAAAGAAACAAGTTGTTGAAAGGACCAATATACACCAGAAATTTTATTCTAAAGATATATTAACTTCTGTCATTTATAGTGATTTCTTCATTCTTTACCTTGTGTCCCTTTTGAAAACAGTGCATATATATGGTATGAGAAGTCACATCATAACCTCTCAATGTGAGTGATTTGATTCATTTGCTCTCTTGGGTAAAGAACAGATTGGGAGCACTTGATATTTGGGGAAGCAGCATGATAAATTCTGCTAAATTAAACAAAAATGAGATTCAGGGGGATGCATTCCCAAAAACAAAATCTCTTACTTTATACTCTTCTGTTAGCATAAAAATAATCAAGAGTGATTTAGATTTTCTAAAATATAAAATGAATACCTTTCAACATTAAATGTAATTTGGCTCCTGGCTACATACATAGCCTGCCTATGTGGCCTTAAATTTTAGAGGACTCAATATTTCCTTTTTCTAGTCAAGAAGGAAACTCAGATATATTCTTCCCTTAGTCTAATTCCTTTGGGCCGGAGCAGCTCTCTGAGATCCCTCGAAGAAAGGTGTTGTGTAAACCGCTGGGTGTGGTCTTGAATGAGGGTGAGGAGGAGCTGGTGTGGTCTTGGATGGGGACTGGGTTTCTCCATGTGCATTCAATCTCTGAATTTTTTTTTAAATTTCTGGAAAACTTTCAGAAGGCTGATGTTATAAATCTGGAAAAGCACACACATGGAACAAATAAATAAATAAATAGCTGCACTCTGCCATAAAAGCATTCTGCGTCTTCAGAAATGACTCAGAACAAACTGGCCTCCTACAGATAACCAAGGTTCCCCACCTTCCTGGAAGGCTTCTTCTTCTCTCTTAACCTTGCTCTCAGAGGGGTGAGCAAGAGACCCTAAAGAGAGGAGGCAAAAGAACATTTCACTTTACTGAGTAGAGCTGGTGAAATGTTGAAAGCACTCCTTGCTGAAGAAGGACAAGGGATCCTTCTTCACATCACAACATCAAGTTCACTGGCTCCATTACTGAAGAACTGTGTGTCATCCTTTTATCTACTTAGGACTTTTATGGCAAAATAACTCTGAAATCTCTGGCTAGTGATTCTTATCTAGAACTGAAAATATTTACTCAGTTGTCTTGTGTAATTGCCTGTTTTGATTTGGATTTAAAGAATTTGAACTAAAGTGTTTTTATTGTGGGGGTTATTAAAATTCCCACTCAAAAATGCAAATAGAAAAGGGAGAATTGCACCTGGAACTAGCAAATAATCATCAGAAAGGGAGGACAAAATTTTACAAATGTCATTTATTTCTACAATGAAATGATATACAACCAAGTATATGATGTATGCAGACTTACTAGCAGGCTTTCTACTAAAAAATATGTAGAAAAGATTCTCATATTACTAATATTTTTACAAAGGTAAACATATTTAGACATAGAGAAGTGAGAAAAGATAAGTATTTTAAAGCCTGTATTTCTTTTTTGGAGTTCATATTTCTTTAATTTGCAATTTTCATTCTTCATATGAAAGACTTCAGGCAGGACATTAAGAAAAAGTCCCTGGTCTACCAAATTTACAGAAATAAGACATAAAACAGAGATACAAGACTTGGGAGAGAGCAATATATAGTCCACTGAATTGAATTTGGTCAAATTGTAGGCAATATCACAAATAACTTGACTAACATTTTTGCTTTTATAAAGAAAGCACAAATGCATTAAATTAATGGTTGAAATGACTAAATTACAAAGAAATCTTAGATAACTAAACAGAAGGAAACGACACACTCTGACTTTAGGAAGGTAACTCTAATTAGAGTGGCTACAGATTCTTAAAAACTTAGCCTGCTTTGGCTCACCCATTAATACAACTGAGCTTTTATATTCATATTTTGCAAAATCTTTTCTCCCTTTTACTTTCTAACTCAGAACATATACCTTAGCCAAAAGTCAACTTATCCCTATTCAATGGCAAAAGATAGAATTCTTAAAGAACACAATGGGTTTGTTTGTTTGTTTGTTTTACCAAAGACTATTTAAAGTGTTATTGGCATCTTTTCTAATAACAATAATGCTCTCCTTATAGCGTCCTGAAAACCAGTGTTCCTCAAAAGTTTTCCTTCAGACCATCAGAATCAGCATCACCTGGATTGCTTACGGAAATAAGTGCAGATTCCCACTACTCAGTTCAGAATTTCTGATTCAGTTACCCAGGGATTTGCTTTGAGAATTTTCAATTTTATCAAACTTATAGACAATTTTATGCATGGTAAAGAGTGAAAACCAAAGGTAAATCAGCAATGCCATTGTGCCAGAGAATGTCTCCAAGTGTTCTGATTCTTTTTTTTTTTTTTTTTTTTTAACCAGGGATCAAACTCAGGACCTTGCTCTTTTGAGGCAGGCACTGGAACCACTGAGCTAAATTCCGGGCCCCCTGATTCTTAGTAAAGTGACTATAATACTCACATCTAATGTAGAGAAAGGTCTTCCTTACGACTTTTTTTCCTGCAGTGAGGCATCCCTGATCAGGCTGCCTTAGGGAATGAAAGGGGAACTGAGAAGAAATGTCATTGAATTTCCATACCTGTAGAATAAACCATCTGAATGAAAACATACCACAGAAAGAAGTAAAACTTTAGTATTTGTTACAATGTGTATTGTTGACCTTAGGCATCTCATGCCTCATTAATAGAGGACTTTTGTTTTTCTTCTATGGATTTAGTTAGTAAAATATTTTAGGCTTTATGGGCTACTTGGTCATGATCTCAATTACTCAGTTGTATGAAAGCGGTCATGGACAAAACTTGGTGAAGTTGTATTCTAATAAAACTTTATTTATTGACAATGGAATTTGAATTTCATAGGCTTTCACGTGTAAGAAATTATTATTCTTCTTTTGAATTCCTAAAAGTAAAAGTCATTCCTAGCTCACAGAGCTATAACAAAATAAAAAGTGGGCAAAATTCCCTTCCTCCCATGTAGTTTCTCATTTTCTGCCCTAAAATAATTGTTTTCAAATTTTAAATTCATTTGGAGGGCACATTGAAACTCAGATTGCTGGGATTCCCTTCTAGAGTTTCTGGTATCAAAGATTCAGGGATGGCCTTAATATTTGCTGAGAAACTCCTAGATTAATTCAGTAAACTCCAAGTGCCAGGCAAAATAAAATCGTTTCTAACATTCACTTCATTTTTATCAATGAAAAGCATTTTATTAAGTTGTACGTTTGGGAAGAACAAATCCAAAGGAAAATGTAACAAAATACTTTTGCTCAGAAGTTATTGAGAGCCTGGCTTAGACTTTGTTATCAACTGCAGAGGTAGAAATGTGTAAGATTTTTTGGCAAAAGAGACCTAGGAGGAGAAGAAAATAACAAAGAAACAGGGTGGAGTGTTCTTGTTACGATTACGTTAAGAAGACAGGTTGGTCTGATTCATGCTGACCTTAAAGTAATCTAATACAGAATCTGAAACTGTTCCATGTGAATCATGGTTTCTGTATTCCAAGTCATTGTTGTTATTTTTATTATTGAGGAAACAAAAATCATTACGTGGTCAACTAAGTGGTTGACAATTTAAAACAAGTACAAAAATTGAAATGACCAGTCTTCCCCCGTTTTAAAAAAATGTTAGTTTATCTTATGTGTTTCTTTGTACCAGATAAAATGAAAAAACTTTGTTTCCGGAGGCTGCAGCTTGTTTCTTAAATAGAGATCAAGGATTGAGGTGAGGAAGTAAGAAAGTGTATTTCAGTCCTTTGTGCTCGTGTTCTACCCCCCTTCCTCATTACTGCCCTTGGGATGGATCCTAATTGATTTATTTCAGTGACAGCCAGATCTAGAAATAAATGAAGACTCACCAAATGAGAAACATACAAGGTGTTTGTTTAGAGCTTGCCGCCTTGCCGCTAGAGTTTGGATCTGAAAATTCCTGCAGATGTCCATGTGGATCTTTGTTGGGTCTTCAGCTTGTGGTTGTATTGGGAAACTTTAAGATGTAGGATTTAGGGCTGGGGATTTAGCTCAGTGGTTCCACTGCCTGCCTCACAAGTGCAAGGTCCAGAGTTCAATCCCTGGTATAAAAAAAAAAAAAAAAAAAAAATGTAGGTTTTAGTGACAAATTGTGAAGTCACTGGGCAGAGCTATATCACGGTACTCTGGTTTCTTCCTCTTCTCCCTTTTACTTCCCACCCATGATGTGATAGATGTTGGTCTACCATGTGAGCATTCAAAATCTGCTGCTTCGGGACCCAAACATCAGGACAAAACAATTAGGGACTGAAACCTCTAAAATACAGCCAGAATAAACATTTTCTGATTAAAATTTGATTACCTCAGGTGTTTGTAATAATAGTGGACTGCTGAGTAGCATACTTACTATATAGCAAGGGAGTCAAACATTGTCACTTGGTTTTGGCAGAGACTCAAAGCCAGGAAGCAAATGGGAAGGCTTCATTATAGAAAGAGAAGGCTTCAGGTGTGTGCTGATTAGACATCTAGGCGGACTGTTGCAGGGATAATTGTTTAGCTTCTTAGACAGTCACTAGAGATTACAACCTGGCTTCTTTCATGTGGCTTCTGGATTTTTAAAATTGTAGATAACAGTATTAGTTAACTAGGTTGGTTGTTGCAAGTTGTGTGTCAAAGTCTTATTTTTATACATGGTTTGACCATTGTGTGTTTATTTAATTTTTCACATATAAATAGTTTATATAATCACCTTGACTTCTCTCCTTTCTCATATATCTTTTGAGTTTTAACTTTCCATAATCCAATTTCTATGTCAAATATAATAAATACGCATTCCCAAAGTGTGTTCCTCAGCATTCTGACTTCATACCCCATAGTGTTACCAGGTTTTGGGGTGCAGGAATCACCTTCTTGAGGTGGTATATAGGTTCCTTCCATCTTGAGCAAAGAATGGTTCAATACAAGTACAAATGGTAGCAAAGTTTTATTAAAGGCAGAAAATGAAACAGGCTCTGCCAAATGAGTTTGGGAAAACTAAAAGTAATAAAAGGAGTATACCCTATGACAATACAGTAGGCCACCATGAAAGAGTGAATTCAATGGCAAAAATTCAATGTGTAGTGTCTGTTTTATATCACCTGCTTCTCAGTCTGATGTCAGATCTAGGCCATCCTCTTGAAAACCTGCTCCTGTTCTCAGAAGTCCCCATGCAGGGCATTGAGAACTGTTCTGCACATGTGTCCTGGGATTATGTAATTAACAGGTAACACCTACTTCCCCAGCCAGCTTTACCACATTGTAATTTATTATCCCCTTTCCTCCTGAGAGACAGATATCCCAATAATTCTTTATAGGGTACTAAAGGAGTGAAGATCTCCTTCTTCCATAGCTTCTTCCAGCTGGAAGGGGCTGTAGACCCTTTCTACTGGGAATTATGTGCTCTCTAACTGTTTCGGAGTGTTGTGACTCACTGGCTGAGTTGAAGGAAAAAAAAATCTGTCAGAAGACAAACTGAAAAGTGTTAGTGACCATTGAGCTGTCTGTTTAATGGGAGAAAGAAATGTTACTATTAGCCCAAATATGAGGAGCTGGTCACATTTCCAACCTTCTTGTGGAGTTCAAAGTATGGCAAAGAAGGAGTTTAGATAAATTAAGAGAGGCTGAGGGCATAGCCTTAGCAAGATCACCCACATTATGGATCAAGTTAAAAACAAGAGCTTCAATACAGTTGCCCATTTAAGTTGTGTTGAATTAAGATCATTAGTGACTCTACTTATCTGCACCTGGAGCATTACTGGAGTCGTGGCTGAAGATGGGCCTCAGGTCTTCTAGAGGTTGTCAGGAATAGCTTTCTTCTTAGTCCTATGAAAATTTAGTGATCGTTTCTCATGTAGGATTTTTATAGCTTGTCACTGCACTGTCTGGTCCTTGAGGGTGGACCAGAATGATATTTCCAAGGAGACTTTAGATATATCTCATTGGATCCTTACAATGACTGACAGTGCCATACTTGGGAGGTGGACTGCCTCTATGAGTTGTAGAATTTTTTGCTCATGCTTCATGTTGATTAGTCAGCAAGCTCCTTCTTTTCATATTATTACATGGGCATGTAGTACCAGAAAGGCATATCTAGAGCTTATTGCCTTTTCCTAAAAGTAAGTGCTATTAGCTCTACCTTTTGATCAGGGGTCCTTGGGCAAAGGAGTTTTGCCTCTATGACCTGTTATGAACTGATAACTGCATAACTTCTCTTTTTATGTGCTTCTTGGACAAAACTACTTTCATTAGTGAACCACACCACCTCAGGGTCATGGAGGGGCAGGTCACTGATGTCTTGCCTGTTTTCATAGGTCTGGGAGATCACCTGTTCACAAGAGTGGCTAACTTTTCAGTCTGTAGGCATCAAAGAAACAGGATTAAGAATAGCAAAAATTTTATAACCTCAGGGGTGTCCAAGAGCATAGCTTGATGTTTAGCAAGCCATTCCCCTGTTAAACAAAAGTAATCCGGATCTCAATAATTGCTCTGATCTGATGGGGAGTCAGGACTTCTAGTTTCTGTCCTAAAGTTTTCCTTTGTTACCATAGCTTTAGCTTCTACTACCCTCAAGCATGGTGGCCATCCAGAAGCCACTCCAACCAACTTTTTGAAAAGTTGCCTCTAAGCAGAGTTCTTGTCCTAGCTTTCAGGTCAAGACACCCAAAGCAATTTCTCTCTTTATTGATATGTAGAAGAAAACAGTTTTTCTTAAATCAGGTATTTTTTTATACTGTATAGCAGGATCCACCTGTTGGATAACAAGGTCAGAGAGGCCTGGCATAGTCCCAACAAGTAAAATCTGTTTAGCCTTTACCAGAATTTGAGAATTGCCCTCAATTTTGCAAAGAAATCTCTTCCTAGCAAAGGAGTAGGATATTATGGGACAATTAGAAACTCACAATTAAACATTTGTCCTTCAATGTGACACATTAAAGCAGGAATAAAAAATCTCCAACTAGGTGTCCCCTCAACCACAGCTATGGCTATAGAACTAGAGCAGTAAATCTCTTATAGAGAAGTAAATAAAAACAGAATGAAATAATTGAATAGACTCACTCATGATATCCAGGATTAGCCAGTGTTCCTTACAAAAAATGATGTTGTCCATGGACTGAGTCATTATAGATTCCTTTGGGCCTCTTCAAAGCAGGAAATGAGGGATTTGGCTGGGTTACTCCTTTGTGGGAGCAAGGAAAGTCAAGCTTCCAGTGTCATGAATCAGGCACATTGGCTGCCTCATATTTAGAGCAAGGACAAGGCAGTGGCTTGATGTAGTTTTGTGCCCAGCATCCAGACTTCTTGCACTTAAAACAGGAACCTTGGTTGTCCTTGGGTTTTTCCTTGGATAACCTGGGTGAGTTAAATACATTGCCAATTGCAACAGCTATAATTCTAGCTTTTCTCTTTTTACCTTCTTCCAGATCTTGATTGTTGAACAAAGAAAGGGCCATGTCCAGCAATTAGGTCATAAGTTTCTGGGGACCCACCTGAAGTTTCTTCATTAAACACATGGGAGAGACCCATATCCCTCTGAGACTCAGGTGGGGATCTGAGGACAGGGTCATCAAACATATCTCTCTTTTTTGAGAACCACACTAAATACCATAGTTTCTGGGCTTTTCATGAGATAAAAGGTCACAAAATCCTGAACATAAGGGATTTCACTCCATGTTGTATCTTTTGAAAAGAAACAATTTAACTGAAAAAAAGTCTCATAATTTAAACTGCCATCTCTCACAATTTCTTAGTTCATTTTGGACCCACACTGTATTGCAATAGTAGATAATCTGTTCCTTGTTTAAATTGTCAAGATCAAACCTTTCCCATTGATCCTAGTTGAATCTGCCGGGTGTGGTTCATGCAATTTCTTATGGCTCATCTCGGGTCCTATATAAAAGGACAATTTGGTCTTGGGTCTATAAAGTGTCCCATGGGACCATGGTGTCCCATGCAGAAGAAGGAAACCTGATGAGTACACAAAACATCCCTTGTGAGACTTAACTATTGACTAGACAGATGTTTCTGTCTGAAGCTAGCTAGAGTGATGCCTTCATCTGTCATAGAAGCATAGGAGAAATCCCTACTGAGAGGTTTTTGTCTCCATACTGGGGCCCAGTAACTTCTTAGGGAAAGAGGATTGAGTCACTTGAGGCTCTAGCTAGGCCTTGGAAACTTCTATGAGATTAAACTGGAGACTCTCCCCACTGAGACTCACTTAGCCATGATGAGCCATTCAATGGGTCTACATAACCAGGATGGAGCCAATGGAGAAACAATATCTCTTGCATTTACACCAATAGTAAAAACTTTTCTGCTCTGTTTAAGGCAGTAGAGATAGAAACCCTTTTTTAAAGAAAAAAAAAAAAACTCTAAAAATCTGAAGAATGACACTCAGTCACTTGAGTTAAGCTTTACTGGCTGTTCTATTTTCTGTTCAGGCTTTTAGGCATATGTTTCTAAAATACCTGCATTTTGTTAGAAGAAACAAAGGCAGATCTAGCCTAATTTAAAAGAAAAGTGGGTGGAAGCCCACATGTTATCTGAAATCCGAGGCTTGTCTTCTATCTACAAGGGTAAGATTTTCTAGTGACCATGAGGTCACTTGAAATCAAATATGGTGGAACCCACATGGCTGATTCATAAGACAAACCAAAATGGTGAAGAGCTGAAGTAACTCAGGTAAAATGATATGCCGAGAAACAAAAGTTGATCTAGGGAAAAGCACAGAGAAGACTGAGTACAAAAAGGAGTAAATTGGTGTAGGCAGCTACTCAGACAGGGTACCAAGTTACCAACAGCTATTTTTCCCCCAAAAAGTAACGAAATATCACAGAAAACTAGGAACACAGGCAGAAAAGGGCATAATAATGGGCTCTCTGGCTATTTAACTCATACCCATGGAGACACTGCAAATGGGAAGAAGAAAGAAAAGGCTCAGGCGGACCTGTAAGCTTCTTACCAGCTGAGAGGAAAGCAAAAACCAAACCAGTGACAAGAAACAAAAAATAGAGGCCGTGTATTCCACTCCCCACGACCACGTAGAGGGCAAA